GTAACGGTGTTGCTTGATTTTGGTTAACGCGTGGATTTGATTTGCTCTGTTCTTTTGAAGAAAATGGGCCGCGTCAAATGCATATGCCATCCTAAATTTTCTTCAGAATTTCTCATGTCTCTAACGCTATTCAGCTATGGTGTGCATGTAATACAAATGAAGAAGTCCTTCACTTATGCAATGCACACAAATGGTGAAGCATTTATAACTGATTAGTTCGGAATAGTAGCCTTTATACTGGACGGTAGCGGCATGAAAACGCTTTATCAGAGAAACAGCTGTGTGCTCACTAGTACGATCGCTCCTGCTGCTTGTTATAGAACTCAACGAGGAGTGTATCCAGGCAAAACTGGGGAAATTGAAGTGCTCAAGGAACTCTTAAATTCTCATTTTCCCGCTTCGAATCCGTGGTCAACTTTTTTTGTGGTCTCGGCTCCCTGCGAAGCTCGAAGCGTTCACGCTCACAAAGTCCCTTTTTAGAGAGAATATGAGTTCCACTCACAATCCGCGTAGTACCCATCGCCGAACTTTGTCGGATTCTCTCTGGAAAAATTTTCGTACCGAGCGAGCGAAAATGATGACATGGGCCAGTTGTAACTTGAACGGGAAACCGAAGTGGTTGCATGGGCCATCATTGCATCGCCTTGATAAGAAAACTTCGATCGAGTTCAGTGATGGGTACCAGACAGGTAGTAGGTACGAGTCGTGTTCTCTCTAAAAAGGGACTTTGTGAGCGTGAACGTTTCGAGCTTCGCAGGGAGCCAAGACCACAAAAAAAGTTGACCACGGATTCGAAGCGGGAAAATGAGAATTTAAGAGTTCCTTGAGCACTTCAATTTCCCCAGTTTTGCCTGGATACACTCCTCGTTGAGTTCTACAACAAGCAGCAGGAGCGATCGTACTAGTGAGCACACAGCTGTTTCTCTGATAAAGCGTTTTCATGCCGCTACCGTCCAGTATAAAGGCTAATATTCCGAACTAATCAGTTATAAATGCTTCACCATTTGTGTGCATTGCATGAGTCGAGGATTTCCTCATTTGTATTACATGCACACCATAGCTGAATAGCGTTAGAGACATGAGAAATTCTGAAGAAAATTTAGGATGGCATAAGCATTTGACGCGGCCCATTTTCTTCAAAAGAACAGAGCAAATCAAATCCACGCGTTAACCAAAATCAAACAACACCGTTCCTAGTTTTCCGACACGCCGAAACCGATGGTTGCTATGCCGATTTACGAAATTTCCAAATAAGTCGGAAAACTGAAAAAATTAGGGGGTGGCATATACAATTGACGCGCACTGTATAAACGCGATATATTTCTAAATGGAGACTTCAAGGCGTTTTGTCATAAAATAGTTCGGTGACTGGACCGAATAAGTAGTGATAAGTTTATACGGGATGCGCGTCAGTTGTAACGATCAAACGCGAATGGTTATTTTATTGTCGTCCTTGGAGGCGCGCTGGGTGGGTAAAGACATTAAGCCGAATCGAACTTATGTGTTATTATGCTTATAAGTAGCAGTGGAGATGTGCAGTGTGACGTCAGTTGCGTGTCACTGCATTTTCTCGAGGTCAGGTTTAATTTTGACTAGAAATCCCGAAATTACAGAAAGGTTGATCTGGAGTAGGTATTAATTCTTTACCCATAGAGGCCTGAGTGCTGATGGTGAAAGTTGAAGTGGTAGTCAGTGAAAGTTTCTTATATTAAAATGTTGTGTCTAATAGCCCAGTATTCTTGGCCAATCACAGATGAAACAGTTTTGACAACGGGCCGGAGTAGTTGAAATAATCCTGAAATTGGTCGTACGGTCATATGGAGCGGATTTTCCAGCTTAGGATTATGTAAAAAGTCTACAGTTTTATGAGTCTTCAAAATGTTTTTCGCCACGATCTCAATCCTTCTTAAGCTTCTGGAACTTTAAAAATAAAAAGAAAATGTAAGCGCTTGCTGTTTCCGTAATCGTTGTCGGCTTTTTATACTGCGCGCGGGTGTGGCGGTTGTGGGTGTTTTTGGCGTCGGCATTTCCCAGAAGCAGCTGCGGAGAGAGCTTGGGTATCTATGTCGGCGCATTCTTTGGTGCAATCTTCTCCTTTACATAAATCAGAATGAATGGTCCGTAAGTCTAGATTGAGGCAGGCAAGATATGAAGTCGCACAGAGTAGCAACAACACCAGCATTGAACACTTTCTGCCCTTTGTGCAGAAGCGCTGTTATATCGATGTTTTTTAGTATGTAGAGGCAAGAACGGCTTTTGGGACAAAGGGTGTTACGAAATTAATGCTCTTTAGGCTGCGTGACTATTAAGGATATATCAGGCTTCACAATTTATAACCTGGGGCGTAAGGTATGCTGGCCGAATGCTTGCGGGGACGAGTCCTTTAACCTTGGCGCACGCTGACAACACATGGAGTTTCAAGGACTTCAAGGGAAAGGCTGATTTTCAAGAGTGTTGGTTTTTTCGATCAAAATTTTAATATTTGGATGGTTGTTACATGCCCTAGGTACAGATCTGCATATGTATGGGAAAAACCTAGACTTTAGGTTTAATCTAGGTTCTAAAATAACCAAAGAGTAAATGGACTTCCACTTTGGGCTCAAAGAAAACAGTTGTAGTTCGCTTGAAAACACTTAAAAACGAAGAATTTGTGAAATATCCTGCTCGTCGTATCTGATTCTTATGGATCCAATCGTTTTGGGCACGTTCTACTCCCTTTTTCTCCATACCAACTTATTTTGAACAATTTTCGTCCCTTCCTCCCTTTTTATGGCCCTTTCCCTTTTTTTGCAAAACAGTTTTCTGTCAAATTAATCTTATATATTCTTCGAGACATGACAAAGACATAAACGAGACAAAATAATGGCTTTAGTGGGAATACAGATTAAATATATGATATTTATGCTTGCCGCGCAGCATGCGGCCGTGAGCGCAAAAAGTGCGCGGTCCGGAAAGGGTTAAATTTTTTTGTTGTTTTGAACGACACTGTTTCTTTATTCTCAATGCATGTTTACTTTAAGCAACACACATATATTAAATGTAGGCCTTTATCAGGACAATCCCAGTTGGGACGACAGAGAAAATTTAAAGGGATTTTCGTCCCCTAACCCTTCGGGGAGATCTACGGCCTGAATCGCAAGCGATTGAATTACGTGTGACCATCGCCATTCCTAAGGTTATTGGAGAGCGAATCCGGAAAGAAGTGGTTCCTTACGTTATGACAAGGGCTGGCGTTCATCGTGCTCAACGAAAGCAGTGTCTTGCTGACCTTCAAGCAATCCATGCTAATCTTACCGGTGCCATGGAACATCTCTTCAAAGCGCAGAACATTATAGGTTCGTCGCTTTAAGTTTATCATTGATCGATGTCGCGCTGATGCTTGAGTATCTTTGTGGAAGGCTCCATCATTTCTGACACTTACACTAGCGCTCAAGGGTCGTCGATGAAAACCCTTTTCGACGGTATCTTATTTTCTGCATGATCAAATTATTCTAATTTCAATGTTTTGAGGGCGAGCCTCTTTCACTGAATCAGAATATATTTTTGTTGAAAGGGAGTAAAGGAGGAGATAAAAATTTTTACTGTAAATTCTTAAGTATGTCCTGTTCAGAACTTTAAATTGTTTTGAAAAACTTACAATCCAACGGAACAATAATGACCGCATGATGAGTAACACTAAGCAGATTCAGTGTGTGCTTGCTTGATACCCTTTTAGAGCCTATCAACCTAAATAGGGCCTAAGTATGAAATCGTAAATGAAGATTCGCTTGTTTTTCTTCTGCAGAAGATTTTATCACCCTTTCTTCACTATTACATTTTTTTATTCGCTCAGTACTTGTTCCCGTCAAAGGCATGCTTATGAAACCACTCTTGCACAGCAGAGGCGATACTTTTCGTCCCTCTATGACTAGAAGAAGAAATCGGTACCGTACAGGTGCGTGCCATATGTGTGACACACAAACTTTTTCAAACACTTTTTGAATCTACCTGTACAGTTCATATCTCGAAGTCTGATTGGGCATGTCACCGAAAATGACGTGACAGCCCGCACTCGATGGATGTCGTGTGGATAAAATACTCCGCCAGATGTCAGCAAAGCGTGAGGGAAGGCAGTATCGCTGCCTTCTATTAGTCGGTGTACCATGTCATTTCCGGTGAGACACCAATCAGAATTAGAGATTTGGGCTGTATATGTCCGCACTCACCTCTTTTCGAATACTGTACTGTAGTCTCACTTTTTTTGGACTATCATAACGGGACCTTGCCTGGCTTTCAGGAGTCTCAAGATTCTGCTCATATGAAATCTGGGATGAATGTTTTCTTGTCATGAGCACAATGATTAGGCCGCCGCAGCCATAACATGCTGAATTTACTACTTCGCTCCAGATAGGTTGGAACCCTCTGTTTTTTTCACCTCCACTCCCTATCACTTCACAGTCAGACAACATCACGAGGTGCGAGAAGTGGTGAGTGCAGACGGGTGCGCTGATTACAGAAAGTGTTGCGTATTCATCGTAGGGCGCCTGACAGTAATTTGCATTTTCTAGGTGGGTAATTTGACCAGAATCGCTTTTCTTTTTGGCGCAGAATTTGATAGCAAGCGGCTTAATGGAAAGCTAATCACTCGCAAGTGCTGAGCGTCATCTATAAACTATAGGTAAGGGTTGGAATATGTTTTGCAGAAAAATCGGGTTCATATACGAGAAACTCGTCAAATTTGAGAGAAAAAAATGCAGGAAGCTCCCAATAGAAATTGAGAAGGTTAACTGATTTCACACTGAAGCCTTGTTAAGGTTTCAGTGACTCTGGAGAATGTCAACCAAGCAGTGGATCTAATTATTGTTATTCATCATTCGGTCGATTGTTCCGATTTACTGTAAGCTTTTTGCAAGAACCTGATGTTTTCTTGGATTCTGATCATACTTGAGAATGAATAGTAGAATATTTTATCATTCCTTCACTTTTTCCCCGAAAACTTTTGAGCGCAACTGCATAAGAATTTGCTTTAGGGTGGTTTATCGCTACTCTTATAGGTTGCCATTATGTCTCGAATTGTGAAATAAACTGTATGTTTGTGTTTAGTAAAACGTTCAAGGAAGCGGAGGCTGCTTCTCTGAAGTATGCAAAAGCTGACAAAAACATGGAGATTTCGCGTTTGGATTTGGATAAAGCAAAAAATAATGCGCAGGTACTCTTCACTTTCCTGATATTGCTCTTGTTTTTCCAAATTTACTTATTAAGGACTTGTGTTAGCCTTTTGGTGACCAGTTCATATGTGCTGTACCTAAGAGTTTGTTTTTTGGCCCACTCGATACATGTTCGACATCGTATACCTAAGCGGGACCAAATAAACGAGGTAGCACACACGGTAGTTCGAAAATGCAGCTGTTCCCGAAAATATTTGGTGTTGGTATTTTTGATTTGGGTTGGGTATTTTTTCGTGACCTTCTCACTCTATTATGTTTCAGTATAAGTTTTGCCTTCTTTCATTATCATTTTTACCTTCTTTTTTGTTTTGGTATTTTTTGACCTTCTCACTTTATTATGTTTTAGTATTACTTTTGCACTTGTGAGCGTCGCCGTCTCACCTCATATCTGTAGATTTTTCCGTAGTGACTTAACAAAACACGGCTAGCGCAAAACTGCTTCGTGTGGCGCATATACTTTCCCGATGAGCTCCCTTTTTATTATGATCGCTTCCTCCAAAGGTCGTGAGAGCTACTCTCTAACGCAACATTGATATAGGTTGCGGAATCTATTTAGTTTGCGGCAAAAACGAAAGGAAAAATTTTGTTCACTTCTTGCAGTCCGCATTTTTTACTTATTTTGAGGTTAGGTTCTGTAAAGTTCTGTGAAGCAAGCATCTAGCACTCAAATTTGAAAAAATGCTTCCCACATTGATGCCACATACCAAAATTTGAAGTATGCTGCAAAAAGTTTCAGTTAAGAAGGATTCGGCCGAGGACTTGAGCTTTATTTCAACCGCTCTACCAAGTAATGTTTCTAAGCTAAAACTACTGGCTAACAACAATAACGAACAGCATAAACTATCAAAAAGGTGCTTTGGGAAAATGTTAGGTAGATCCTGCGCTAGGTCTCCTTGAAAATATTATTAGTTTTGGCGTCAACTTAATATTTCTCAAAAATCGTTTGTTTTATTTTGCTTTTTAGATGCGGTGTAACATAAGTGAAGAGGCCAAGCAGGCATACGCGAATGCGTTGCACGATGCAAACGATACCCAAAACGCTCATTATTCGCAACATTTGCCTGCAGCTTTAGCACGAATGAGGGTCAGTTTTTTTTCTTTACTTTAGAGTTGGTATATTTACAATTTTTTCAAGTTCTCTAAACGGAACTGTAGGTGATTTTTTATAATTACATCAAAGATCGATCTGACGACTACTCTTTCGGTACTATTCCGCTATTACTTCCCCAAAATCTCAAATTTTATTTTTCGTCGAAACTTTGCCCATAAGGGTAATTCGATGCCCTGATTACGAAAATGACATTCATTTTTGCGCTGGTGCCATTTGGCGCCGCTTTGCTACGAGGGCTGTCTTGACCGGAATCGGTGTAAACTTGTATACCGCATGCAATTACGTGTTGACATCATCAACGTGAATGTTCTGTTGCCGGCTTTACGGTCGCACCATTCGCAGCAGAACGCCCCTCGTCCTGCTCTTTTAGGGGACCTGCCTCCCTTTTTCTAGTAAATATATTCCCCTACATCAACCTTCAATATATCAAATCAACCGTCTTTAATCCTATTACATCTCTTTTAGACCTCGGTCAGACTCGGCGATTGCGTCGCTGTACACCAGCGACGGAGTCGCTGGGCGACGATAGGATATAATCAGGAAAAGACTGCGTGGGATGCACTTGAATGCGAGGAAAGTGGTCCTGTAATAATTGACGTGATGAAATGACCCACCAAAAGAAGTTGTGAAATACAACTATCATGGATTTTCCCACTCGATCAAAGAACCAATCAAGTTTCGAGCTAGTTACTTCAAGATACCTTTGAAGTTATTACAATGACAGGGAGGACCACTATCCTGATTAAGAATTTGAAAAAAAAACCGAGCAGAACAACATGAACGATGGGTGAGGATGATTAATCTCCCCCTGCCAACCGATATCGATCGTGTGCTGAGTCATCGCCCGTTGCTGCCACTCTTGTGCCGGGCGGCTCCGTCGCCGGCGATTCCGTCGCCGGCGGCTCCGTCGCCGCGGCTCCGTCGCTGGTGTACAGCGACGCAATCGCCGAGTCTGACCGAGGTCTTATCAATTTCATTGGATTTCTCATTTTTTCATGGTCTAGTGTTTTTTTTTTTCAAATGGGATTTCATGGGTGTTTGGCGTGTTTTGATTTTTGAAAGTTATTTGGCCGAAAATGGCGCCGAGGTTTGCGCCAGCGCGGGAATACTGGAGTCCATATTCCGTGATTTAGGACCTTGATAATCCTCTATGCAGGTTTTACGCGATTTGACGGACTTTAGTAGGGGCAAATGGGCATTTTTTGGCGGCAGGCCGGGAATGGGGACTGATATTCGTGATCCAGGACCCTTTGATAACTATATGAGTTTGCAGCGATTTGACGAGATTCGGTAGGGCAAATGGCGCCATTTGCGCAGCGCCGGAATGGATATGTCCTTATTGTTGATTCGGATTCCATTGTACCCTTATGTGCAGGTTAACAGCGAATTTGACGAGATTCAGTCAGGGCGCCATCTGGCGCCAAATGGCGCCAATTTTGCGCCAACGCGGGAAATGGATCCCATATTCGTGATCAGGACCCTTGATAACCCTTATGTGCAGGTTTACAGCGAATTTGACGAGATTCGTCAGGGCGCATTCTGGCGCAATGGCGCCAATTTTTGCGCAGCGGGAAGTGGATCCTATTCGGTGATCAGACCTTGATAGCTGCCTCCAAACTTCAGCTTACTAAGGGGATTTCTCATTCTCTTTAATCCTTATTCAAACATTTATTACCTTGCTCATCTTCCGCGGGCGTTCCATTCATCCAGTCCAGCGTGAATGGACGAAATTGAGGAGGTACCTATTAAGAGCTTTTTATATCGCTGTTTCTCGGCGTGGCACACGTGTACGAGTGCCACGCCGAGACATGTCAAGCAGCATCATTTGAGGGCGATAAGCCGAGATCGGATCCGCGCCCTGTGTGGACGTGTGCTTCCACGAGTCCTCCACATAAGATGACGTGGCTGGTGGTGAGCCGTCATTCAGTGGTGAGGAGGGTGAATGTCGGTCGAGGAAATCCTCGACAGGGGTGGTACTTGTAAGGGACAGGGTCATGGGGGTCGTACTCGTGACGGGTCAGTAACATCAGTGGCATCGTGGTGCAGATAGGAGTAAGAGGGGTGGCACAGAATCTAGCAGAGGATATGTGAGAAAAAAACATGAGCAATCATTTTTAAATTTAAATCAATAAAGAATTTCAAGCTACTTTTTCAGGTGACCGATATCCGTCCCCGATAAATTCTCAGCGCAAATATCTTCTCAACTAGAAAATGTAGACTGAACAGGCTACTAGGAAACCTTAGACAGCTTTTCAAGGCTGTCTCCCATTTCTCCAGCTCTTACGAAATTAGAGAGATATTGCCTTTTTAGTGGCAAAAAGTCGCATCTAAATTTCGTCGTTTTCGACGTAATCCACTTTTTTCCGGTCTCCAGGACTTCTTGGAACCAAGTTATGAATTTTCGTCGCAAACTCCGCCCACTTTGGTCATGCCCCGCCCACCATTGACAGTTGACCTCCACTCCTCCACCCACTCTATCCACCTTTTTCCGGCTCTCTAAGACTCTCCGGCCGAATTATGAGGACTTGTAGAAAATGCTGTACACTTCAGAGCACGCTCCGCCCATTGTGGGCGGGCCTCCGCTCACGCCATGTACTGGGATTACCTTATACATTGCTTCCCTTTCAATTTATCAATTTTTTTGAGCACTGCTTTTTCGGGAACCCCACCCACCGCAGTGGGTCTCCCTAATTTGATCTTGCCTATCAAAATACACTTTACCTACCATTTCCCCCAGGAATGTTTTGGTATAGTATCTGGAATCCTGGTCATCAGTGCCACTCATTTCGATGCACGCCACGCCCACTGTGGGCTGGGCTCCGCCACTCCGTGAGTTTCTTAATCGTCCCCATGAGATTTATCGTGACCACCTCCTTTAAAATGAGTATTGTTGCCCTTAAAAGCATGTTTAGTATCGAAGCGAGTGTAAGCAGAGGGGAGAGAACTTACAAGGGAGGTCTTTCAGGGCAAGCCGCGCTTTTTGGAAACGGTTTTTGCATATTGTAGGGACGCATGTATGGACCACAAAACCATGTTTCGTTTTCGCTGAACGGTTTTAGTAGTACCAAAAAAGTGGTGAATGATACCTTGATGGTTCAATCCCCGCGGCGACTAAATTTTGCAATCAAGGTTGGCGGCCACTTGTTGGCTTCAAAATGGTCCTGACGATGAATTGACATCTGATTTTGACATTTAGCGCGATTTGGCACCAAACCGTAGGCGCCAACCCAAATGCAAAATTTAGTCGCCACGGGGGATCGAACCATTAACAGTACCTTATGCTTCTTTTTTGGTACTGCTATAACCGTTCAGCGAAAATGAAACATGGTTTTGTGTTCCCTACATGCGTCCCTACAATATGCACAAACCGTTTTGAAAAAGCGCACTTGCCCTGAAAGACCTCCTTGTTAGTAAGGATAGCGGAACCTCTTTCAATTTTCCGACTTTTTCGCCGATGTTGTTGAACTTGTGTGACACAGCATTGTTCGACTTCTCTGCCGTCATGGAAGAGCTCAATGCAGCAGCTGTCCGGAATAGCGATGATGTCTTTATGGACCTTACATTGTGTTGAACCAACAAGATGTTGGTGCGACACGCTGCTCCACAACCGTTTAAAGGGGAACAAGACTGCGGCACCACTTGAATGTTTGGAGGGTCAGGGGCAGGGTTAACCGTCCATTCGCACTATTCGAACGAGGGGTCGCATTTTGGTCATGGGCCGAGGGAGGGGGTCGCAATTTCAAGGACCCGCAACCGAAATCGCGACGGTAGTTGATCGGTGGATGAAGGACTGGGGAGGAACGCTCACAAAGAACATGAAGTTGTCATAAACTCAAAATAATTATTCTTTCCAGGCTCGCCGTTTCGTTCCTGAAGTGTTTCTCCGCGTGAATTACTATACATCTGTTATACATTACTGTACGAGAATTACTATACATCGTGAAAAAAAAACTTTTCTGCCTTCAGCAAAGCTTTTAGGGAGAGCTCGCTTCGTCGCATCAGAGCGTAGCAGTGCCAAAAACTGAGCAAGTCCGGGTCATAGCAAGATGAAATAGACTTCCAAATACCAGCCACAGGCGCGTGCGTGGCGTATCCGAGGGCAAGACTTGCTTGTGCAGACCGCATTAGATTCGATTTATTATGCACAGAGAGACAGTTTTAGGCAAATTACGGTGTTTTCTTGAGGAATAAAGAACAGTTGAATGCATCCCTATGAAAGGTTTGACTTCTCGGGGCTGAAATTAAAGTTCTTCGGGACCTAATTTTCTGGGACGATTCTTCCAGACAACGGTAAAACACATAAGAAAGCAGAAATCTCGTAGTCTTCAAAAATGTCTTCGCCCCTCCCCAACAAGTTCTTTGAAGGAAGTTATTATTGCTGAAAGCTCAAAAACTCGCATGTGCTGCTCAAAAACCTATGGGAAAAAATGTTCGAACGTGTGATTTTCTCGAAAAATGAACTTTGAAAAACGGTTTGGTGCTTGTTAGAAAGAGCAAATCCTGTACTTTCACCCCATGAAAAAAGTGCATCACAGAAATGAAAATGAAGTGAGTTATGGCCGCTGAAAGCCCAAAAACTCGCTTTTGCACGAAAATGTTCGAACGGGACAATTTTTTGAAAAAGGGGACAATCACTAAATTTTTATACTGTTTTGATAGAGAAATATTTGAAGTTTCTGAAACTTTTTACAGCTTTCCAAAATGTCGCATACGAAAGATATTATGGGCCTTCAAAGTTGAAGGTGCGCCTTCTTAGAATTTTGGGTTTTCCACTTCTAACAGAAGTACTTTCCGGAGAGTTAGGCAATCCTTGTAGTTTTCTGAAAGCGCACCTCAGGCACAGTTCAAATCGGGGATCGCAAAAATTTTGAAAAGTGAGAACGTGACGGTTGACCCTGGTCAGGGTTTCTCCTCAACCGGCCGGATTTGAGAGGCCACTCATAGTTAACACATTGGCCTTTTTTGAAGCGATT